TTAGTAAACATTTAACATGTGCCTTTCCTGTTCTGAGTCACCATAAAATTGAAGGTTTTCCTTTTCTGGAACACGTATATAAATGGATGCTTTCAAAATGTGGCACTGGAGAGGACTCTTGAGAGTTCCTTGGGCAGCAAGGAGATCAAACCAGTCAATCCTAAAGGAAATCAGCCCTGAATATTCATTGGAAGACTGATGCTGAAGCTGCAGTACTTTGGCCATCTGATGCAAAGAACCAGCTCATTGTAAAAGACCTTAATGTTGGGAAAGATTGAGGGCAAGAGGAGAAAGGGGCATCACAGACTCAAAGGACATGAGTTTCAGCAAGCTCAGAGAGGTAGTGAAGGACAGAGAGCCTGGCATGCTGCAGTCCATGGGGTCGCAAAGAGTCGGACAAGACTTAATGACTGAACAACAACAACAAATGCAATATTTGCAAACAGATTGTTTCTATTTTCATTCTTATTTGAGGTTGGCCCTGTGATGAATCCATTTCTGTAGATAATACATTGATAATAGCCTCAAGATGGTGGGTTTATCTTTAAATCATTTTTTAAATTTTTTTGATGTGGACCATTTTTAAAGTCTTTACTGAATTTGTTACAACATGACTTCTGTTTTATGTTTTTGTTTCTTGGCCAAGAGGCATGCAGGATCTTAGCTCCCTGACCAGGGATCAAACCCACACCCCCTGCAATGGAAGGCGAAGTCTTAATCATGGGATCACCTGGGAAGTGCCCTGAGGTTCCATTTTCAAGCCAGTGACTCAAGCATTTTTCCCCTTCAGGATACCTAAGAGATCTGTCACGCTTCCATCATGCCCCCCTCAGGAACAGTTTTTCCAAACGTAGGGGGACTAGGGAGCATGCTTCACGGTGTCTGGGGGTGGGACCTGATGCAAATGCCCCTCCCCACCTCCAAGATTGTGGTGGCAAGTTTATTCCATTCATTAGTCAACACCTTGAGGGAAATGTAACTGCTAATTACTGACCATTCTCTGTGCCAGGTGCCTTATGTACACACTATTTAAGCCTCACCGTGAGAGTGGGATTATTAGCCACATGTTAAGACGATGAGCTCAAGGGTGAGGTGTAAGAAACGGGCCCCAGGCCATCCATATGGGTAAGGATCGAGTTGGGATTTAACCCTTGTTTCCCAAACTCCAAGTTCCCTCCCCACTGTGCTATCTCCTACTAACCAACTGCTTGTTATCTTAGATGTTCACTATCTCAGTTTGTACCTGCTGTTCTCACAAAATAACCATAGATTGGGTGGCTTAACCAAGAGACTTTTTTTTTTTTCTCAGATATGAAGGCTGAGAAGCCCAAGATCAAGATGACAACTGATCCAACATATGTGGGGGTCTCACCAGACCCCATCCCAGCTTGCAGGTGGCTGTCTTCTCCTTGTGTCCTCACACGATGGGGAAAGAAATCATTTCCCTCATTTCTCTTTTATAAGGGCACTAATCCTGTTCATAACGGCTGCACCCTCATGACCTGATCACCTCCCAAAGGCCCACCTTCTAATATCATCACATTGAGGGTCTGGATGTCTAACATAAGAACTTAAGAGAGGGGACACAAACATTCGTGCCACAACATTCACTTCATATTTATTTGGAGGAACTTGAGTCAGAGAGAATGGTGTTTATAACATTATGAACATCTTTTTTTTTTCCTTTGGAGGGGACTTAGGATGTGAATATATAAGACAAAACCCACTTTTGTCATGTGTGCATGCCAGCTGCAGCTGAGAATCTTCAGAAACTTTACACACAAAACAGAGCCATCACTGATGTTACTGCCAGGGCGCAGGAGCTGCTGGCCAGAGATCCCCACAGTCCAAGAACTCACTCCCACACTTCCAGATGAGTGCTAGCAGATGAGGTTCTTAAACGAAGACTCCTAATTTGGTGCCCTGCTGAAAGGAAAACCCAAGGCAACCAAAAATAGACATATACTGACTCCTTATACAGTTGAGAATTTTGACAGCATAACATGCAGAGGAGTGGAGAATTCAAGGTGGGTAGGAAGACTGGGATCACAAACTAATGCAAAATGCACACACACCTTAGCAAAAACAAAACCCATCTAAAAAGAACAGGCCAAATAAAATAAAAAGAACAGGCCTTGGGACTTCCCTGGTGCTCCAGTGGTTAAGAATCCACTTTGCAATGAAGTGGACTTGGGTTCGATCCCTGGTTGGGGAACTAAGATACAGTAAGACACAGAGCAACTTAGCCCACACATCACAACGACTGAGCCTGCACACCACAGTGAAAGATCCTGCATGCAGAAACGAAGACCCGGCATGGTCAAATAAACAAAATAGATTAATTTAAAAAAAGATCAGGCCTGGTTTGCCTTCTCTTGCTTAGCAGAATACACACTTCTGGTCATAAGAACTCTCCCATAGACAGATGAGATAGATGTGAAGATCATCCTACATGATCTGGACGGGCTCCGTGTCACCACAAGGTACTTACAAGGGAAAGAAGAAAGCAGGAGAGCCAGAGAAGACCTGACGTCGGAGGCAGAGCCGGGGAGGTGCATCCTGAGAAAGGCTTCCCTCATCACTGCTGGTTTTGAAGACAACGGGAGGTACCGTGAGCGAAGGGAGGCTGCAGCCCCCAAAAGGTGAGAAAGGCAAGAGAACAGTCTTTTTTGGAGCCTCCAGAAGCAATCAGCCCTGTCCATACCTTGACTTTAGCCCATGAGACTCACTGTCAGGCTGCCAGGACTGTAAGATAGTAAATATGCATTATCTTAAGCAACTAAGTTTGTGGTGATTTGTTACAGCAGCCAAAGGCAAGTCATACAATTCCATCGAGTTTTCTCTTGTACTGGCAAAATGAAGCCCATCTTCATATAGCTTTACGACACCCTTCAGGGCCTGGCCCTTGCTCATATCCTGTCTAATTTCCTGGGACCCCACTGAGGTGTCTGTGGTCCAGCCACTCTGGCCTTTCAGCATCTTCTTCTTTTTTTTTTTCTGCTGTGTCAACACATGGGATCTTAGTTCCCTGACCAGGGATCAAACCTGCACTCCCTGCATTGGAAGTGCAGAGTCTTAACCACTGGACCACCAGGGAGGTCCCTTTTCAGTATCTTCTGACTTAAGTCTCCTCTCTCCAAGCACCCCTGCAGCCAGTTACCTCTTGCTCATCCTGCACACTTTAGCTCCTAGTTACCTGGGGACATCCATTTGAGAAACGTTTATAGGGTGCTAGTACTATTCTAGGAGCTGGGAATAGAGAACAGCGCAAAAAGAGTCTCTACTGTCCTACAGTGGAGGAGGAGGACCACAAATAAGAACCCAAATGATTAAGCAAGGTCATTCCAGAGAGGGATGACCAAACAGAACGCTGAGTCAATGGGCAATTTTAGGTGGCGGTCAGGGAAGGTCTCTCCAAGAGAAGATGTCTGAGCTGAGACCTGAGTGATGAACAGAATCCCTTCCTCAGATGGTCAGCTCTTCTTGAATGCTCCTGTCACAGCGCTTAGCTGGTGTTACAGACTGAATTGTGTCCCCTCCAAATTCTTATGTTAAAACTTTAACTCCTGACATGACTGTATCTGGAGACAGGGCCTTTGAGGAGGTAATTAAGCTTAAATGAAGTCAAAAGGGTGGGGCCCCAAGCCAATATGACAGGTGTCCTCCTAGGAAGAGAAAGGCTTGTACACAGAGGAAAGACCACGTGAAGACACAGAGAGAAGGTGGCCTTCTGCCGGCCAAGCAGACAGTTCCCGTCAGAAATTAACGCTGCCAATACCCTGATCTTGGACTTCCAACCTCCAGAACGCTGAGAAAATGCATTCTTGTTTAAGCCTCCAGGTCTGTTGGTATCTTGTTACAGCGGCCTGAGCTAGTACACCAGGTTTATAAACTGACATCACCCAGATCTCGGTCAGTACCACCCAGCGGCCTTCTGGCTCCCCCTCTTGTTCCTCCTACTACGCCAAGTCTCAGCACAAAAGCCCTACAGAACTTCCTGAAATGCAGATCACATGTCACTCCCAATTCAGACTCAGGAGTGCCACGCAGAAAAAGCTCCAAATGCCAAGCAGTGGCCCGTTTCGGTTACTCAGACCTGACTGCCCTCAAACACACCAGCCCAAGAGTTCCCTCCTGTTCCCCTGACACCAAGCTCCAGCCTCCCTCTGCTGGGAGCACCTTCCTCAGCTCTGCAGACTATCACCTTCGCAGCAGCGTCCCTCCCCATTTTAAGAGAGACTCTCCCAGCGCAGTCTCCTTATCCAGACCTGTCTCCTGGCTTTTCACCGCCCAGAACCGTCTTTTCTGCATCTTGGCGGGTTCCCACTGCCACTCCGCATCCCATTATGGGGCAGGGACTCTACCGTGTCCACCGATAGAGCCCCGAGCACTGCTGGCTGTTGAAAATACAGGTGGATGGGGGACTTCCCTGGTGGCCCAAAGGTCAAGACTCTGCCTTCCAGTGCAGGGGCTTCAGAGGCTCCATCCCTGGTCGGGGCGCGGAACAAAGACCCCCACATGACTTGAAGCCGAAAAACCAAAACATAAAACATTCTAACAAATTCAAGACTTTTAAAAAGGTCCACATCACTAGGATAGGGAGGTACCTATTAGAAGTTTTAGATTGTTGACGACAGATTAACAATAAAGTGATGCTCTGGTGGGAAAAAAAAATTAGAAGGTACACATTAAAAAAAAAATCTTAAAAAAAGAAACAAGAAAATACACGTAGAAGAGGTGTCATGGGGGGGGGGGCGGAGAGATTTGAAGGACGGGAGCCAGGCCCTCTAGCCGTCCATGTCAGAGTCGCCACTGAGTTCCGTGCTCTTCCTCATCTGCAGGAAAGAGGACAACGACGTCCACAGGCTCCAAACAGTTCACAGGCCGGAGAGTAAGGAGCAACAGCTAAGGACTTGCTAAATAAACAGTGTCTCGGGGGAGGCACCTCCCGACACGCGAAACGAGGTCAGTTCCCTTTGAGACGCTGTTCTAACTCCCCGCTAGCCTCTGCTCCGGGGCCGCGCGGTCCAGAAAAACACTCGTCCGGCGCGCATCCATTTGAACCGCACGTGCACCCCCAATCGGTTCCCTGGACCGCTGCTTCCGGGAGCCGCGCGGCCCCTCCAGTGGCTCCGCCCCGAGGACGCAGCCCGGCGCGAACCGCACGCCCGCCTCGGGGGCAGCCCCAGAGGCCCGGGCCGAGGGTCGCCTCCTCCCGGTGCCGCCGCCGCCGCCGCCGCCGCCGCCCGGCCCGACGTGGCGCCGCCACCGCCCCCGGCGCCGACGCTCGCGGGCACAGCCAATGGCGGCGTCTCCCGGGCGGCGGGCGCGGCCTCCGGCCGCCAGAGGGCGCCACGCGAAGGCCAAGGAGCCGCTGCCGCCGCCACCGCCGCCGCCGCCGGGTCGCGGAGGGAAGCTGCGAGCGAGCGCCCAGGCCACCGCTGCCGCAGCCGTCGCCCGCTCACCGCGCGCTGCTGCCTGCCCGCCGGCGCGGCCGTCCCCGCAGGTAGGTGCGCGCCGCCCGCCGACCCGCGCGCCGCCCGGCCGCCGCCTCGTGCTCGCGCGCGGCCGGTAACGGACACGGGCGGGGGAGGGGCGCGCGCTCGCCCGCCCCGCGGCGGAACGGCGGCCCCGGGGCCGCGGGGCTCGGCCACAAAGGGCGCGCGGCCCCGGCGCAGGGGCGGCCCGAGAGCGCGCCGCCGCCCGGGCCCCCGCGGGCGCGCCGACGGGGGCGGGCGGGTCTCGGTGCCTCCCTCCCTGGGGGGCGGCGGGGGGGCGCGTCTCCGCCAAGTGGGGCGCAGGGGCGCCGCCGCGCGCCCCATCCCCGCATGTGTTTCGGTTGACAAAACACCCCTTCCTCTGGATATTTAACTAAAAAATATACATTTTCCCGTACTATTTGTGTCTGTTCCGGTGATCGAGGACACCCCCCCCCCCCCCCCGCCACCAATCCAGTACCTTGGGTTTGGGGGCGGGAAGGATGCTCGCAGGGCCTTGGCTCATTAATTTCAGGTCACTTTCCCTCCCCACCCCGTTATTATTTTTTTTTTTTTGGCGCGGGGCTCACGTCTAGGACGCGCACGAATGGTTTCCTGTCTATTGTGGACACCGAGTCGGCCCGGGCTGGAGGTTTCTTGTCCCCACCCTTAAAGAATGAAGACCTGTCAGTTCCCATTAGCATGAATTTCCTGTCGGGGACGGTCACTGCAGGGGTGTGGTCCAGCTGGAAAGCTCTGGCTGGTCCCGAGAGGTCGCGCCTGCACCCTGATTGGGTGAAATTTTCTGGACTTGGGTCTTTCCCCCGCGTCCTCCGATACGTAGTTAGGTATTTTAAAGACCAACCGTCCGCCTGAAGTTCGTGTGAGCTGGCCCCGGAAGGTGTCCACTGAGTGCTGGAGCGCTTGCAATGTGGCTTGACCTACTAGAGATGCCCTCTTCGGTGAAAGAAACACAGCTGATTTTAAATCACTTAGGAGAAAACAGTAATACACCCCCATTCATCATTTTTTCCCTGCTTAAATCATACAGGTTGAGATGTTAATGTTTCGAACATACTGGGTTAACGTAAATACATTGTTAATGTCACTGGTTTCATTTTGCTCTCTTCTCCTTTTAACATGGCTACTTGAAAATTTAAAATTAGATATGTGACTGGCATTATATTTCTGTTGGACAGCGTTCAGCCAGAGCCTTGGAATGGGGCAGGGGTGATTAGGAGCCTGTGCCATCTGCTTATTTTTGCCTGCTTCTGTGATGGCATGAGGCCTCCTTCTCTGCTAGGCTCTCAAGGAATCCCCTGCCTCTTCCTTCACACCCTCAACTGGACTGCCCAACTGGTTGCTTAATGAGGATCTTGTCCTAATTTGCAGAATAATTCAAATTAGTGGATGGAATTTTCTTCGCTGAAAAAATGTTTTCCATCTGCTGTCTACTGGAGTTTGCAGTTTCACTCAGAATCAGACTGTGAGCTTTCAAAGCTGACTATTTTTGGGGGTGGGGGGTGGGGGGATGGTGGTGTGTGTGTGTGTGTGTGTGTGTGTGTGTGTGTGTGTGTGTGTGTGTGTGTGTGTGTGTAATGCAAAGCACATGTTAATTTTCAGGTCCTCTGCCACCTAAATGCCTTCTTTCAAATTACCGTGGCTCGCTCTTGGGTGCTGGTCATACGCTGACCTACACTCTTCCCTTCCCAACTGTTAGATACTGTCCGTTTTTACGAGTACAAATGGTGGTTGTCAGTGATACTGTCCCCTAAATCTTCATTTTGACTAATTGTAAAGCCTGTCAGTTTGGGAGGGTTAAATCAATGTTAAGTAGGAGAGAATCAATTAGTATAGAATCTCAAGTCCAGTAATGGTGACAGTGACTCTTGGAGAGTTGTGAGCATTCCAGTAAAGGACAAGGTAGAACAGAAGATGTCTGTATTCTGTTGCCTTGGTTACTCTAGAATGGCTTTCAAGAGAAAGTATAATGTGTGGAGATTTGATTTCCAGATAATATCTTGAAGTGTGTGTGTGTTAGTGAAAATACTTTTTCTCCAGAGAATCTCAGGATTGAAAGTGAAATTTGTGTTCTCTAAAGTGTGAAATGTTTGCCAATCTACAGAAAAACTTTAGATAATATTTTTAGGGTGGAGAAATAAGAAAATATTAATCCAGAAGTTTAAAATGTATACTTGTTCCAAATATTAATTTAAAAAATTTAATTCACATACACGCACACACACAATAGAAGCATTTTAAGTGAGGTGAAAATTTCCTTTGATGCACAGAAACAGGGTCATTTATCCTTACCAGGTTTTACCCAAATAAGCTTGCTTTTTAATTTTGTTATGAGTTTAGCGATGTGTTGTTTAGTTAACTGATTACTGTTAATTTCACAAACTGTGAAGCCTTGGGAACCAGGTAATGGATACAGTAAAAGAGAGGCAGAAATTTTTCCGTTGCACAAATGAGAAAGTGGAACCTTTGTGTTTTATTAGAATACTTGAGTCTGGAGCAGGGTAGTAACCTGGCAGTTCACACCTCTGCAGTCCTGGGCATGTCACTGACCCAGGGCCTGGGTGCCCCTGGGCAAGCTGTTTGTAAGATTTTTTGTCTTTCTTGTCCATTCCTACCATACAGGATTCCTGTGTCAGGCAAGATGTTCCCTGGGCCTTAGGAGGCCTGGGCCCCAGAAGGGGCAGCTAGCACATGTTATATCTGAGAGATCTGAGAGCAAGTTCAAAGTGAACATCTGGGGGGGGGTGGGGAGAGGGGTTGGGGGTGGAGTAAAAGTGTGAAATTTCCTCCCTGATGTTGCTTAGCACAGCCTTTATCTTGGGGCTTTCATTTTCAGTAGAAGGGGCAAACTGCCTCATAAGTATATCCAGGAGGAGATTTCCCTGTTCCAAGAAGGTGCCAGAACATCTGTAATAATGTTTTCCTCCCTGGGTTTATGGTCTCTATGGGATGTAATGTATCCACCTGCTTTTGTAAGTGTTTCCATAGTGTAGGAACACTGTTGCAAGCCGGGGTGACAGGGAACAGTTAACTTTAACTACTTTGTGTGATGTTTGCGCCTTGACCCAAAGAGGCTTGAGTCTGAGGACCGCATTGACTACAGGCTGATGATTATAATTTTTCACTTGCAACTTAGGAATGCCTTTTTAGGCAGAAAGTCAGGCACTGTGCTACACATTCCCTGGGGCACCTTCTCTGGTCCCGTGTGAGGATGTCTTGGAAGTACGGCTGTGTAATGATGTTTATTCCCCTTCCTAAACACATGATGTCGTGGGTGGAGCGTATTTCCACTCGCCACTCGGCCCTGGAGTACTGTCCTAAAATTCCCTGTGTCCACACCATCGACCCCCTCTGCTTCTCCGAGTTGCTTTAAATTTCATCCCTTGCCGACGTCATCCTGTGTGCCTGAGTGTGCAGAGGGCTGTATTTATTCGGTTCCTCTTGAGTGGCACTGAAGTGCCCACCTGCCTGTGGCAGCTGCGTGCGTCTTTCAGAGCCTAGCCCCGGCGCCCTCGGAGCCACGCTGGCCCTCCTGGCAGAGCTCCGCGGATGGGAATTCAGGCCCAGGGCCAGCCCGGGCGGCGGGGCCGCTTCCTGGCTGTGTGATGCTGGCCCGGCCGTGTCGCTTCTGTGTGCTTCGGCTTCCTCTCACTACCTGCCTCTCAGGATTCTTAGGATTAGATGATTTCATACTCAGAAAACACTTGGAGCAATGCCTGGCATTCAGTCGGAGCCGTCAGTGTTAGCTGTGATTTTTATCTCTGCCGTATATTGTAGTCACATTTCGTTTCCTCGGTGTCTCTGATAATGGACACTGGTTCCCAAAGTTACCATGAAAGGCCACAGTTTCGCGTTTCATGGTTTAGTGATAGCTTTGTACTAGGCTTGATGTAGTGGGTGTCACCTCACAGGCACAGAATAAATATGTAAGGAATTATACCGGAGAGCCAGGGGACCTTGCCTCCTGTGAAGCTTCAGAGTGAGTAAGGAACTTAAAATCAGCTGGTTCCAGGAAGGTGATGTGTGTTCCAGTTTACAGGAGGTTAGCTAATTATGAATTGTTGTTGTTCAGTGGCTCCCTCGTGTCCGACTCTTCGCGGGCCCCCTGGACGGCAGCATGCCAGGCTCCCCTGTCCTCCACCATCTCCCGGAGTTTGCTCAGACTCTGTAATTGAGTTTCTGGCTGATTCTGTTTATTTATTTTTACTGTTCAAAGCTCCCCCCCTCACCCTCCCACCACTTCCTTTCCGTTTAAGGAGAAGAGGGTGTGGCTGACTGGCTCTTCCCCTGTTGGTGATGAGTGAACTCTTTCAGGAGTGACTTAGGGTTTCAGGGTTTTCCTCTGTTGCGATCCAGTTGATTCCCACCCTATTGATTCACTCCCTTGTTTGTTCCCTGAGGACGTGGGGTCCCCCTCAGCCGGCCCTGCTGGCACCCGGTCACTTCCTCTTTGGCCCTGTCCTTTGATTTATACGCTTGCCTTGGCTGAACCGCTGTCCCGGGGACTTGGAATGGAATGTTCTCTTTACACTCGGCCACTTCATTCATTCTTCGCTCAGGTTGACTTGGACCCAGGGAGTGTGAGGTGATTTTGGCTAAGAAAGACAGGGGGTCTCTTGGCAGGGAGTGAAGCGGGGGACAGGCTCTAAAGCTGACCCTGAAGCCCAGACTCAGGGCTGAAAGAGCCAGCTCAGGGCAGATCTGAGAAGGGTGTCGTGGGCAGAGGGAACCGCATGCACGAGCTCCCGGAAGCGTGGAGCCCTTGACTCACCCCAGGGACCCACAGGAAGAGGAGCAGCGCGAACCAGGCCGGGTGAGGGCGGGGTCGCCGTCAGGAGTCTAGATTTGGTTTTGGGTGCGGAGGAGTTTAAGCAGGACCGCAATACTCAGCTTGTGTTTTTAAAGAGCATTCCTATCAGTGTAGTGAGGGGGTGGGACAGTGGCGAGGCGGGGACCCAGAGCGGAGATGGGGAAGGAGGGAGTTGAGACACCCCCCGGCTGGGGCTGGGTGGCCCCAGAGGCCTGAGCGCTCTCAGATCCGGGTGCCCGGCAGGTATTTGACAGTGGCACCGCTGTGGCTTTGTCGGTGGGTTGGCTGGATGTGGTGAGAGAGAGGTTTCTGGTTTGAGCAGTTGGCCAGGAGGTGATCTCAGTACTGAGAAGGGCAGAGTTAGGCTTGGGAGGAGGAGGGTATGACATTAGGGGCCTTCCAGTTAGAAATGCTGAGTAAAGGTCACACACTGGCCCAGAATTTTCTATGGGTCTTACACATGTCGGTGTAGGATAGATGGCCTTTTTGTAAATGGCATTTGGGCAACTGGTAG